TTGCTGATTCTGGGAGCACAGGAAGTGCCATCTCTGCACCACCTCATCCAGTAAGATCTCCAGGTCTTTTCCCTCAAAGCGAGGCACCAACTCCCCTGTCTACCATATCTGAGAAAAGACATCAGGCACCATGCAGGGCAGGTACAGACTGACAGTACTTATCTGGATGCAGAATGGGCATTTCATGATGTATAAAGATCTAGAACTCTATAGAGATTTGCTACTGCTGGTAGATGGGATTAACAAATATGTATTTTTAAATGAACAAATGTATTAAATCACTGCTGCAGCTTAGTAATGAAGGGCACAAAGACTCTTATACCTAGCTTGGGGGAAGTCAAGGCCTGCCGATCCAAATTCAAAAGGAAATATTGGAAGTGGGTGGAATTGCTGTTGCATAAGCAGAGTTTCACAAAATATTGCTCGTCTTTGTCTGTAGTAGCTACAGTGGTGCCTTTGAGGACATACAGTTCACGGGTACAGATCCATCTGAAAATGATCAGGTAGGCTTTGGGTGGCAAGAGAAAAATTCAGCTGAAAGGATTCCTTTCTGACACCTGGTTTTTAGTAAGCAGCCATTCATTTTACAGAAGAAAAGTGGATAGCTAACCATTAAAATGTTCCTCCTTTCTTGGTCTTTATTCTTTGTTTTGTCACAATATATGTAACCAGCTGATCACTGAGATCTGATTCAAATGCTAACACACAAATTATCCCTTTGCTTCCATCTTTAACACTCTCTAAGCTATCTACACAAAATTGGAGAGCACAAATCTGGGAATTACTGCCAATATAAAATGTTAGCAAAAAAAATATAGTAGTGGTTGAACTTTAATGAAGTTTTACAAGGGTGTTTGTTAGTATAATATTTCAAAGAACCAAAATTTTTAACAAAATGTATCCTTTCTAGTATCACTTGAAACGTGAAGGGTCATATCAGACTGAAAACTTTGGCTCTGATTTTCTCTCTCCAATCACTAGCAGACTAGCTGAATATCTGTAGCATCTTCTGTTTATGTTTCAGATTTCCAACATCTTCAATATTTTGCTTTTACTCCTGTTTCGTACTATCAAAATATACAGTTATCATGGCTTTTTAAAAAATTTTATGCCATGCGGAAGCAAAACATTCAGTTTTTGTTCAAATTTGATTTAGTTTTGTGAAGCTAAGTGCCAATAAAACCATTTTTTCCCTAACTGGATTATAGATATGTAGATAGAAGGCCAATCAACTATGATTGTATCTGCCAGTTTTTGCCTTACATTTAAACTGGGCCAGTTTTTTTTTCCTCATGATAATTTCCTTTTTCAAGTCAAGCGCCTTTAAGTGGAATCTTATCACAGTCTGAATGACTTGTGCTTTGGCAAAATGAGTCATAGAATCTGGCAAGATGTTCAGTAAGGCCCATCTTGGCATTGAGATCATCTTATTGCATTTTGTGGGCTTTTCCTCAAGCAGAGAATCATGATAGAGAGTAGCGCGTTGCAATTAATGCCCATTGTTGCTTGTCAAATGTCTTGCTAACAGTCCAGCTCACCACAGGTTGTGATCCCCACCGCACTCACCATACAAACGAACCATATGGAAAACTCAACACAGAAACCATAGCCGGCTTTGTGGGTTCAACTTGTTGCTATTTCCAAATGACCTCTGTTTTGGATACCAGATACCAATATTTCAGGCATGCTTAGGCACATGTACCCCACATCCACAGATATTTCTGCCAGACTGTATAAACCCTCATGGCACATGTCTGATCCACTCATTGGACGCTTCTGCGCTTCAACCATGCACCTGTAATGATCATTGTAATGCTGCAGCAAGGACACTTTGTACTAATGGACTAGACCAGCCTGCATCTCCATGCTCTTTGGTTCACTGTGATAGTGCTCACTCACTCTAAGCCTGCCTGGATACTTGCAGTATCCCTGACTTGCATTGCCCTGCTTTTTTGTGCTTTAGCTCAAATTATTGCTGTATTGCTGTGCCATGTAGCAAAGACACAAGCTTGGTGTTGTTGTCAGCAAGTCTCAGTCAAGTAAAGAGGGGTAACCTTCGCTCAGGGATTCCCAGTACAATAAGTCAAGGGCAGCCTCCAATAAGAGTCCAGACCCTTCTTGGGGCCATCACAGACAGGATGCTCTGTTCAAAAACAGATGAGGAGCTAATTGACAGTTAGCAAACCACCAGTCATGATTCTTTTTGCCCTATTGTGGGCTACTTTGTTCCTGGAATGAGAGAGATGCAAGTATTACAGAAGATAAATGAGGTGACACACCTATAACTGATGATGCAGGTGGGACGGCTTGCTGAATGCGTGACTAGGCAGCACACAGAGCATGCAGAGTCAAAGTGGTATTTATTGCCTTTTGGGATGGGCAAGAATGAATGGAAAAGATGTTGCAGTGAGAATGATAGAGAGGAAGCTTTGGTGCACTACCAGTGATGGAGTGAGTGTATCAGAGGGAACTTGATGCCACCTATGCTGGCAGAGTAGAAAGGCACATTGTCCTTCTTCCTATAGTGCTGGCTATTCCTCCAGATGGCTAAGACTGCTTCCACCCTAGTGAAGACTCAGATAAGGCTGGCATGGTCCAGTGTTGTGGCCTCCACTGCTGGACTTTGGATTGGAGGAGGGGGGCTTGTTGATGAATTTTGTCTGTGCACTATCCGATCCAGCAGAACCTCCCTCCTGTTTGCCACATCTGGGGCAAATATTAGAAACTGTAAGGGGCAGCTCCAGACAAATAATGTTTGTCAGATTGCACATTGGGCTTTTAAATATGATGCTGACACTAGGGATGTTGGTCAGTTTTGGGAGCACAGTGAGTGGTGAGATGTGCTTGGAAGATGGTTGGGGGCGATCAATCAGACATGCTTCTAGCTATGAGGGCTGAAATGCCAATTAATGCACAAGTGATTTGATTTGATTTGGTTGATTTACTGTCACGTGTACCGAAATACAGTGAAAAGCTTTGTTTATGAGCGATACAGGCGTGTCACAGCAAGCAAAGCACATACAGATCGAAAAGACTTAGAGGCATACAGGCTACATTGCAGGCTCCATTATTTGAGACTACAGTCCATTCAACAGTCTGATAGCTGCCAGAAAGAAGCTGTTCCTAAACCTGCCTGTGTGTGTGTTCAGGCTTCTGTACCTTCTGCCTGATGAAGAGTTTGTAGGAGATCATTTCCAGGGTGCAATGTGTCTTTGATGATTTTGGCTGCCTTTCCGTGGCAGCGAGCCGTGTAAATAGAGTCCATGGATGGAAGGTTGACTTCCATGATGGTCTGAGCTGTGCACACCACCTTCTGTAGTTTCTTACAGTCCTGGGCAGAGCACTTGCCAAACCAGACCATTATGCACTCTGACAGTATGCTTTCAATGGTACATCTGTAGAAGTTGGTGAAGGACTGTATGGACATGCCAAATTTCCCAAGGAAGTTTGGTAACACACAGTGAGAAAACATGCTAAGGCGAGAATCACTTCGCCAAACATGATGCAAATTGCAATTTGCCAAAAAGCCAGGAAACTCATTTTTTTATCTTCAACCACCACTATGATACCCAGCATATCCAGGTGCAGCTACCTGGCAAGATTATAAAGCATTGGAGCAGAGGTACTACAAAAGCTTAACAATATAAAATTTCAGTCCATCAGCATAGATTATTGGTGAGCTTCCAACTACTTATCCAACTAGAGTGATCTTACATGTTGGAGCCAGCTGAAACTGAATTCTGGCTTACATGATAGCTCACGTTAAGTCTATTTGTAAAATGCTGTGGATGTGCCTGAATAAAACTCTAAATTAACACGTCTGCCATGTGGGTTGGACTGACGTAGTTCAAAACTTCCCTTGTCAGGTGCCGACTTTAAACAAACGCTCCTTACTTCCCTTCAACAAAAGGAGAGAATCATTAGTTGTAATTAGAAAACTAACAAGGGGCAACGCGGTGGCTCAGTGGTCAGCACTGCTGCCTCACAGCACCAGGGACCCAAGTTCAATTCCAGCCTCGGGCAATTATCTGTGTGGAGTTTGCACGTTCTCCCCGTGTCTGTGTGGGTTTCCTCCGGGTACTCATGTTTCCTCCCACAGTCCAAAGATGTGCAGGGTAGGTGGATTGGCCATGCTAAATTGCCCATAGTGCCCAGGGATGTTTAGGTTAGGTGGGTTAGACATGGAAAATTAGGGGAATGGGTCTGGGGAGGATGCTGTTCGGAGGGATGGTGAGGACTTGTTGGGCTGAATGGCCTGTTTCCACACTGCTAGGATTCTATGATTCTATGATCTATGATTGGTCTGAGCGCACACTGGACAAACAGCACATACCAGGAGTTAGTCATAAATGGCACAATGAGTAAGGTAACATCACAAACATGAAAGACTTTTTCCAGTATCCCTTTGACATTACAGAATTCCAGTCACACCAATTAACGGTATAGGTTTTAAGCAGCAGCTGTCTGACTTTCTTCTGTATAATTCTAGTAGGTATGAGTCCTAGATATGTAAAAGCATGGTTTTCATAAGCAGCCTCCAGGCAATACCCACCAGCAACCGTCATCTCAAGCTTCAGAGTTCACTGATCAGATGTACAACAAATATCTGGTTTCAATATGATCGAAGGACTTCATACTGAATAATTTGCAAGTGGCAGCCATCTTTCAGCCTTTACTTTGCATCAGAATCTCCATTTTCTAACTGAACCAGCTCCTATGGGTAAAGTTTTGATTCTTCGTTGCTGATACATCTGAACATGTTCAAATTTGAACTTAATATTTTATGTGGAGAGGCATATAGTTCATTCATAGCACTCAACATCTTTTTGAAGGCTTTGTAATCTGTTTTATTTTATACACTTTATGCATTAAACATTAGTGTCAAAATGAAAAATTCTGCCTGTAATATTTTGAAACATGAACTCAGAAACTAAACTGATATTTCTTACAAATAAAACAATGTCAATTGTGCTTACTTTGGTTTGATCTTCTTTTGCAAGACAAAAACAGGAATTTGTTTGCTCCAAGATGGAAGTCAAGAGCCTTTTGAAGTGCGATTGCACTTAGCAAAGGACATTTTAACAATTCAGGAGCAAGATGTCATCTGTGTCTCTAGTGAAGCCTTCTATTCAAGTGTAAGTAACCTTCCTTTGTTTCAAAATACTAATAACTAAATTTGTTGTTCCAAACGAATGGCGGTCACTTTTTATATTTGTATTGTAATTTTATTTTTATTGTGAAATGTTTGCCTTTTATGATCTCATGACCACCATATCATGCAGCAAACTTTTGGTACAAGGCATGCTTTCTCAGTTTTCAGAAGAGAAAGCATAAGAAATGCTTTGGGATTCATACAATATCGTTTTACCTTGGTGGAAACTTGGAGAATAAGACACAGCATGTGTGAAAATGACAGCAAACATGCATCAGCACAATGCAGCAAATGCACAGCTTATTCAAATGACATTGATAAATGTCGGTGTGAGCTTTACATTTGTTTATTGAAAGAAATGTTTTGTTCATTAAAGATTAAGCATAAATTAGCATTCTGCCTTCTGCCAGTCTTCATCTTTGTATGGAATTCTTCTCCACTGCTTGACTCACTGTCTTAATAGTTTTACTGTTTTGGACATCAAAGGTTCTTTTGAAATACAGCAGAAACTTAACAAGGTTTGAAAGACAGAATCTAGACACAACACTAAAGAAAGAAATTATCATTTATTTTAGAGAAAATTTTGAGGTATACCAAGTGCTAAACTGGGCTGTTCAGTGCTTGCTTTTTACAATATTACATAGTCAACCCAAAGCTTGCAAAAAGGGGTCTGGTGCACACTTTCATTAGAAAGTATAACAGATGCTATTTTTGGTGCGAGGGTTTAGATCCACATACCTAACTATCACTAGCAGTATGCCAAGCAGGCAGATCATGACTCCAATTTGTATGTGATGCTGATTTGATTCTAGAGTTTCCATTTTTCAATTAAACATTCCAGCCAGTATGTTGAACATCAGGCATCCGTACTTCATAATCTTCATGTAGACTACAGTTGGATACAATGCATTTCATTTTCACTGCGCTACCGCAAAAGGGATATCATTCATACTTGCTTTGCTAAGAGGAACAGCTTCATCTGAGGCCTTCTTGCCAGGGATAAGCAAGTAGAGTGAGCTTAAGAGATAACAAGGTGTAGGGCTGGATGAACCCAGCAGGCCAAGCAGCATCAGAGGAGCAGGAAGGCTGACGTTTCGGGCCTAGACCCTTCTTATTGGTTTTCATGGATTGCATTGCAAGGGTCCACATGGTGCAGGTTGTCATTGATTGCATGCGTCTCATGTGAATTTGGCTATTTTCATGAACAATAGGGTATCCCAATCCCTCAAACGTAGGCAGAGGATCATGAAGGTCAATGCCTAATATCCTGACAACAAGTTTTCACAGACTGATCAACGTTTGTTACAAGTTTAGCGTAAAGTCTCTACTTTTCAAATCCATCCCTCTAGAAATAATCTTTTATGCTTTGTTTGCTTTCAGTATGACTTCATTAACCCGCATGACTGTTTTAACTGTTTGGTATATTTGCACTGCATATCACTCAACTATTTAGGTTTTCCCAAATAATATCGGGCTTTCTCATTTTTCTAAAAAATATCTATCTGGAAATTTGTTTCCCAATTCCTTATTATCTTCGTGTAAGTTGTTGCAGTCAGTCCTGAGGAAGACTATCCTTCATAGTTTGGTGTTACGTACGTTTTGGAATTTTAGATGGTGAAAATCCCCCAAGATTATTGTCTTGTCTTTTATTGATTTCCTTAAATTGTTTGTATATTTCTTTCTCCACCATTATTAGGTTGTCCGTAGTCTACCTCCATTTGTGTGATTGATGCTTTATGATCTTTTATCTTCATCTACTTGAAATCTATTTCTGTCTTATTGATAATGACAAACAAAAAAAATTGGTGCAACTATGTTATGTAACGTACAACTATGTCACCACCCTCATTTTTCCCTCTATCCTTTCTAAATGTGTTTTACTCTAATGTTTAAGTTCCAAATTGATTTTTCACTGGCTATGTAGCTGTTTTCTCAAAATATACTATTCCCTGCAGTTTCACTGTTTTATTGCAGACGTTGTACATTACTGTAGACATGTTAACTCATTTTTAATCGCATCTTCTCCTTTTATGTTTATTAATTTTTTACATTCCCATTTTATAATATGGCCACTTAGCTACTTATGTTCTCTCTTAGATTAATCATTTCAGTTCTTACTTCCTCTTTCATTTATACTTATTCTTATTTGTTTCTTATAGGTCCCTCTCCACTTTTTTTTTGCTTTTATTCTTCTCCCCCATCTCTTACTAGTTTAAAGCCTTTGCCACTTCCCCATGTACTCTTTATGCTGGGACCTGAGTCCTACTCAGCTTCAAATGGAGCCCTAGCACCAGGGAGGCAATATATCACCCTGGAGTCTCATTTGAGGCCACAGAAATTTCTATCTATTTTCCTCACTGATCGCTATCCCCTATCGCTATAGCCCTGCCACTCTTCTTCCTCCCTTCATGTGCAACAGAGCCACTCATGGTGCAATGCACCTAGTTCCTGCTGTTATTCCTGAGAATGTGTCACTCCTAACAATATTCAAAAAAAAATCTGTTATAGAGGGCATGGGCTCCTGCAATACCTGCCTTCCTCTGCTCTGCCTGGTCCATCACATCTTTGGACTGTTGGAGAAAACCAAAGCACCTAGCGAAAACCGACACTGACACAGGAAGAACATGAAAGTCTGGAATCAAACCTGGGTACCTGGCGCTGTGAGGCAACAATGCTAACTACTGAGCCACCGTGCTGCCCTACCCCTGTATTTGCCGCGGCTAATGCAACTAGCCTGCACATTACAGGGCAATTTAACACGGCCAATCCACATAACCTGTGGGAGGAAGCTAAAGCACCCAGCAGAAACACATGTAGGCACTGGAGGAACATGCAAACTCCACACAAACAGACAGTCACCCGAGGTTAGAATCGAAGCAGTGCTAACTACTGTACCACCTCAGAGTTTTCTTCTCTCCAAGGAGAACAGTCCCAACCTGTCCAATATATCCTCATAACTGAAGTTTCTCACCCCTGAAACTATTCTCATAAACCTCTTCTATACTCTGTACAAAGTGTTTACCTCCTTCTTATCGTGTGGGATCATGGACGAAATGCAATATTCCAGCTAATGCCTGGCAGTGGTTTAGCATAACCTCCTTACTTTTGTACTCTGCAAAATTAATAAACCTCAAGATAGCATGTTTCATTAACTGTTCTCTCCATCTGTCCTTCCACCTTCATAATCTACACGCATATACACCTAATTCCTCTGCTCCTAGACTGCCTTAAGTATTGAACCCCATGTTTTATATTGTCAGTCCATATTCTTCCAATCAAAATGCATCTCCTCACATCAGTTTGCATTGAACTTCAGCTGCCATTTATTGTCCACTCCACCAAATCAGCAGTGTTCTTTTGAATTCAACCCTGTCCACCTCAGTATGCAATACTTCCAAGTTTTGTATAATGTTAAATTGTTCTCTGTACGCCAAGATCTAGATCATTAAAATATAATCGAGAAGAGGAAGGGTGCCAATACAAACTACTGGACTCCACTACAAATACTACACTTCTTACAGTGCAGCAAAATCCATTGACCATTACTCTGATTCCTATTAGTCAGCCAACTTTGTATCTGGATTGCAATTTTCTCTTAATCCATGGGCTTTCTTTTCAATACCAGCCTGTTGCATGGCATTATATCAAATGCCTTTTGAAAATCCATATACATCACATCAACAGCATCATTCTTATTGAGCATCTTACTTTTCTCAAAAATCCAGCGAGTTAATTAAATAGTTTACTCTTAGAAATCCATGCTGGTCCTCCTTAATCAACCTGGTTTTTATCATAGAACATAGAGCATAGAACAGTACAGCCCACGATGTTGTGCCGAACTTTTACCCTAAACCTAAGGTTTATCTAACCTCCACTCCTACCTTATACTATCATCCAGATGCCTATCTAATAGCGCTTAAATGCCCCTAATGAGGCCGCCTCCACTACCCTCGCCGGCAATGCATTCCACACCCCAACCACTCTCTGAGTAAAGAACCTACCTCTGACATCTCCCCTATATCTACCTCCACTCACTTTAAAACTATGCCCTCGTAATAGCTACCTCCACCCTAGGAAAAAGTCTCTGGCTGTCCACTCTATCTATACCTCTGATCATTTTGTACACCTCTATCAAGTCACCTCTCATCCTTCGTCGTTCTAAAGAGAAAAGCCCTAGCTTTCTCAACCTTTCCTCGTAAGACCTTCCCTCCATTCCAGGCAACATCCTGGTAAATCTCCTCTGCACCTTTTCCAATGCTTCCACCTCTTTCCTGTAATGAGTCGACCAGAACTGGACACAATACTCCAGATGTGGCTGAACCAGGCTTTTGTATAGCTGGAGCATAACTTCACGGCTCTTGAACTCAATCCCTCTATTAATGAAAGCTAACACACCATACGCCTTCTTAACAACTCTATCCACCTGGGTGGCAGCTTTCAGGGAACTGTGGACAGGAACCCGAAGATCCCTCTGCTCCTCCACACTGCCAAGAATCTTTCCGTTAACCCTGTATTCTGCTTTCAAATTTGTCCTTCCACAATGAATCACCTCACACTTTTCAGGGTTAAACTCCATCTGCCACTTCTCAGCCCAGCTCTGCATCCTATCAATGTCCCTTTGTAACCTAGAACAGTCCTCCGCACTATCTACAACTCAACCCACCTTTGTACTGTCCGCAAACTTACTAATCCACACTTCCACTCCTACATCCAAATCATTTACAAAAATCACAAATAGAGGAAGACCCAGAACAGATCCTTGTGGTACACCACTTGTAACTGAGCACCGTGTTGAATATCTTCTGTCCACTACCACCCTTTGTCTTCTAAGGGTCAGCCAATTCTGAATCCAATCTACCACATTTCCCCCTATCCCATGCCTCCTTACTTTCTGCATGAGCCTACCATGAGGAAACTTATCAAATGCCTTACTTAACTCCATGTATACCACATCCACTGCTCTACCTTCATCCACGTGTTTGG